AGCCTATCTGAGTCTTTTAATGATGCCAACTTGCCAAGAGTTTTGTTGCTCGCCTCTGGACATCTTCTATATCACTGCAGAGAGTCTTGTGTTTGTGTACTGTTTCGCACTCAATTCGCAGTGCTTGAAAGTTGAAACTATGAAAGAAAGTATAGAGTAAGAGCCTGCATAGTGGCAAACCAGAGCTTTTTTAGAATCAGTTCATTTTTAATTTCCTCATTTACTCAAGATTTAAACAAATTTCTCAAGTATGATAAAGCTGGTACCAGTATCCATGATACTTTACTGGTCTACTTATAGGACTCAAAAATGAACTTGAGAGAGAGTCTAAAAAACTCTCTGCTTTGCCACTATGGGCCACTAAGAGGACCTGTCAGCACACTTAGTTAGGTTAGCAATCCGATCAGATTCTACGTTTCCAGCGATCCCACTACGTCCCTCTACTTGGCTTCACAAAGTATGTGTATTGTGTAAATGTTGTAGCCACGTTCAATCAACTCATTAACAATAAATCCCACAAACAACACGAAACGTCAACAGAAATAAAAGATCTAAACTCACTGATGAGGCTACTTAATTCTTTTAAAACTAAATAGGGAAGTAGGTTACTCTCAAATTCTATTAAATATTTATAAATTATATTAAATTTTATTGTTTATTATTGACCAGATTGACTTCAACTCTATTTCTAATGCTCAAAATCGTTTTCCCGAACACATTATTCATTAGCTTGAACAAATCTTTCGCAAAATCTGATTTCGTTTGTTATTGCAATAAGGTGTTTAAATGCATGTGTGTCTTTTTCCATGGATTATCATCATATTCCAGCTAAATTTCATTGAAAAGAATACAACCATGGATGAACATAGAAGAGCATTATATAATGGTAATTTATAAAATGCCTAATATCCAAAGGGATAATCACAAATCCTTTACGAAAGGAATTGATAAAACAGCACCGAGCGGCGACGTTGATACGAGGCATATACAGTCGGGGGAAATAAATATTCGTACACTTGAAAAATCGTATTTTAATGTATGTAAGTACACAAACTTAACAGGAAAAGTGATTTAAATTATGTATAGAGACGCATAGTATTCAAAAATACTATCAAAANATGTTGCATTGTTTTTTGTTGCATTGAGATTTAATTTCTTTTGATAGTATTTTTGAATACTATGCGTCTCTATACATAATTTAAATCACTTTTCCTGTTAAGTTTGTGTACTTACATACATTAAAATACGATTTTTCAAGTGAACGAATATTTATTTCCCCCCACTGTATTAGCTGTGGTATTAACACGCACGCTTTGAACACCGATGCGCGTTCGAGTGCGCAGGCGAGTTCGTAAAAGTGTCAAATCGGTGCTTTGAACCAGTGTTTGACTGAATCGCTGAAATTTAGTTAATGACTCGTTTTTGATGCGAACAACCACTTCATTTATCAACATAAAACTGATCGTTGCCCTTCAAAATTCAAATGATTTATAAACTTGGTTTATAAAAATGAGAGGTACTGAACCAATAATTGATAAACAAAAGACTGTCAATTCACTCTTTTTAATGTGTTTGCGTTTTGGTTCCGAAAAGTCATTACATCTAGCCAGAGGTGGGCAAGAGCACGCTACATGTAGCGGCCGCTACACTTGAGGCAATGGCAATGTAGCGGTAGCGCCCGCTACCGCTACCGCGCGGTATGAAATGAGCGCGGTATAATAAACTAGGCGCATTGTACACATTTATTACATGTTACCAAGTACAGCAAAGAGCACCGTCACGAGGTTGTGCGGTGTGAACAGCATGATTAACTGTCAAGAAACAACGCTTCAAAATGGACCATGAACGAAGCCAACGCTGAAACTTCAGTTATAAAATGAGAACAGTTAATTGAACGTTTCCAGTGAAAAAAAATACCTGGACAATAATTAAGTCCATTAAATTGCCAAAATGTTGAACATTTATTTCGTGTATTCAGAGAAGCGGGGTCAACACATCGTTTTCAACAATTACTTGGGGAAAAGGCTGCTGAGAAAAATTCCTGAACAATTTCAATTTTACACCATAAAATAAAATAAAAAATAATCAACATTTAAGCCGCGTAAATACCTGAAAAAAAAATGCAAAACAACTTATTAGAAAATATTCCAATTGATAAACGTAGAGAAAACAATCACGATGAAATTAAATCGAGCTAAAACACATACGAAGATCTAAGAACAATTTCTGAAAGACCCACGAATATTTCTTTGTACGATTCCGAGGTAAGAGATTCAACGAGTAACTTAATGTGAGTTATAAACAAAACTTTTCCGATATAAAACGACACTATAGTAAACATTTGTACTATATAGAAGCTGAACGGCGAATCGTAAGCCAGAGGCGAGTGACCAACAAAAACAGGATTACTGGAGCATAGTTCCAATGCATGATTGAACTATATAAGGTTGACCCACGAGAAGTTCCGCCTTTCAGATCAGCTTTCTTGTTACGTCACTGAGAAAGAGAAACGTAAACAAAACCGTCATTCCCATGACGGATTGGTTGACTGGTTTGATCGCATTTCAGTGATTGGTTAATGCCTGTGACGTAACTGAGATCAGTGACGTCACTGGCGAACAACAAGCTCCATCCGCGAAAATGAGCTTCACATGGGCCAACCTTATACTAGTTCAAGCATAGTTCCAATGTGTTCAACCAGCGTATCCACGCTACCTCTTCCATCGTAACTCGAGTGCAGAAAAAAACAGTTCACAGAGTTCCTTCAGTCACTCTCCTCACTGAGAGCTACATTTGATTGCCGTGGTTTAAACAAAGATTCTGGCTTGTAAGTCTTATCCTCGACATCGCTCTCATCAAGCGATATGTCACTTTCTTCGCTCTCTTTATAATCAACGTTTTTGCGTGTGGTACTTTGGCGTTTTGGTCTGCGTTCATGCGTCGGGACCAGCGTCTTTCCATTACTTTCATCACTAGCAGCGACATTCTCCTTGCTTTTCGTTGATCGTCCTTTTGACTTAGAAGCATTTCGGCCAGCTAAGGAAAGTCTTTTGCAGTGTTGATTTTTCTTTGTAACCTGTTGACTCGTTCTAGAGACACGCGTTTTTTTCGCGGTACGACTGTCACTTTCATCACTTGATTCAGAAGTCAGCACCTTCCGGGATGAAGCGACGCTGCTCTCCGTTGACTCGCCCCGAGATAATTTATCAGCTCCACAGTCAGGCTCATCCCCTACATTCTCGTCTGCGTCCGAGTCGTCGCTGAGGTTGGCCATCGAGCCCAGTTTAGAGGAATTCCAAGCTAAAATCTTGCGCAACTTTTCCTTCTTTTCTTCTTCAGTTTCCTTGGTCTCCTCGTCACTGTCAAGTATGAGGTCTTCTGGCTTGGCCTCAATGGCCGCCAGCGCTTCGTCCTCGGCCGTCTTGGGCTGCAGGACCATCCCTCGGCTGCTGAGCGAGGCTTTGAAACTCATCTTCGCCATAGCAACAGTGTCACTACTCATATCAATTCCAAGACGAACTTTTTCTTCAGTTTCAGACTTAACAGCCACTTTGTCAGTCTGCTTCATCTTCTTTTGAGGCTTCAGAGATTTTTCATTTGATTTTGATTTCGAATTTTTGCTTGAAGAAGGTTCATCGTGATCAGAATCCTGGCCATACTTCTCCCGCACGTGATTCTTTATGAGAATTCCTTGAATGAGTCGCTTCCAGTTGTCGTATATGCGGCGTAGACGCTTGGCTTCCTCGCGCTTCGCCTTTAGCTGCATCTCCTGGAAATTGGTTCAAGCACATTAAAATGTTAAAGATTTATAAACGATTTACCCATAAATAATAAATGAAAGCAGTTTCAATTTCGGATAATAAATCTGGTGAAGTAATACTCTTAAACTATCTGGACAAAATGTTCATTCCTTAAACTACCTTAAACTACCTGGACAAAATAAATGACAAAGGATGGCTGTCGAGACTACAAGTCTACCTCCGTCCAGGCATCCAGGAGTACGTCCTTGAACTCCTGACAGACGACGTAGCCGTCGTAGACGGGGTGGGTGCCGCCCTTGTGGTAATCAAAGCCGACCATCGCTGGCGCGCAGTCAATTTTCAGTTTACGCGCCACACGGCTCAGGTCTTCGTCTGTGAAACACGGAGAATAATTAAATGTAAGGCAAGTTTCACCAGGGAAACTATGACATCTGAAACAAATTAACTAATTAATTAACTAACTAATTAACATCAATTAACTAATTACGTAACATCATATAATGAATCCATTTCATAATATCACCTGAGCGAGTCAAGACTCGGTAATAAAGCTAGACGGGAGAAAGTATAATTTCAGCATTTCATTCTCGGAAAGGGGTGATAAAAAAATTTATACATTGTGTTTCGGAAAAATTGATTGCATAAAAAATTAGGCAATTAATCTGAACACTAATACACTAAAAAAAAAAGAGAAAAGATAAGGTGTTGTCTGCAGGGCATAGCGTACAGCGGGCGTCGAGGTGCACGGTGCCCACAGGCAGCATGGTCTTCTTGAAGAGCTCAACGTTGCCGTACTCGTTACGTGGCACCCGCCCTCCCTTGGCTACGGGTGGCTGGTAGTCCTCTACTTGCCACGGACCAAAGATCTCCAGCGGCAGGTCTTTGATCACTTGGCACAGCGCCTACCCGTACAGTGACAAAGGCAATGAAATAACAGAAACAAAAAATAAAGACTTGCAAACAGGCATCTGTACAAACAAAAAAATATAAACCGAATCAGGTTGTTCAAGCGATTATTATTATCGAACCCTTGAACACGCGGACCAATTGTGATCCTTGTTTGCCTTGGATGACATAACTGCTATTATTGAACTTTTAAATGTAGAATAACAATTAGTTCTTGACAATGTTGTGAGAAAATTGTGAAAGGATCACTAGGACCGTAGCCCGGAGCAAGTGGGCAATTATTGTGAAAGGTGTGACTTGATGTCCAATTGTTCAAAACACGAATTGTAAGATGCATGAAACGATAAAAGGCACATATGCATTGGAAAAGAAAAAAATCATCCCTTCGAAAAGAATCATTCAAAAATTCTGAATGGTCATGCTTTTCGAGCGAAGAACTTCAATGTTATTCCACTGGACTGGAAGTAAATCAAAATTTGTTATAAGTTAAAAGAGCTCTGATGCAGTCTACACTTCACCGGCGTGTAGACGAAAATAAAACGTCAATTGAATGGAACTTTCAATTGAATCGAAAATTCAACTTTCAACTAGAACTATCAATTGAATAGATATATACTTTCAATTGAATTGAAAATAGAACATCAATGCTTGACTCACTCGGTCCCACTTAGGCCTTGCCTTGACGATCTTGTAAGGCTCTTCACCAACTTTAACCGTCTTGCCGTCTTTCTTCCAGATGTCGCGGCTGTGCAGCGTGTACACGCACTCACGGGGATACACGGCCTCACCTCTAACGTACCCCNAGACATTACCAGGGTGATGAGACATTACCAGGGTGATGAGACATTACCAGGGTGATGAGACATTACCAGGGTGATGAGACATTACCAGGGTGATGAGACATTAACAGGGTGATGAGACACAGTCTTGAGACACATTACCAAGGTGCTGACTGTTGAGACACACATTATCAGCATGGTGAGACACACAGTAGTGAGACACACGTATTACCAGGGTGGTGGGTGCAAGAGTAGGTGAGAGAAGAGTGAAGATGCAGACGATGCAATGTTGAAGAGAATGGAAGTCAAACAAGGAGATCTAGCACGTTGATTCACATGAACAAGTTGAAGAAAATGAACAAAGATGGAGAAGAACAGCAATGTTGAACAAGAAGAAGTACCTAAGTTAAGCAAGAGGAAAAATTTTTGAAAAAGAGGGAGCAAGTTGAATAAGAAAGAGTAAGATGAAGAGGAGCATAGTGGAAGAACAATGAGCAAAAATAAAGCAGAAACTGTAAAGTGGAAGCAAGGCAAAGTTGAAAAGGAATATATGTAAGAGCAAAGTTGGAGATAAAGAAGCTACATTGAAGAGAAGTTAATATCATTAGAAGTGAGGGAAGGAGCACAGTTGATGAGGAAAGAGCAAATTTTGAAGCAAATAACCTCAAATTTGGAAATACAGGAGCAAATTTAAACAGAATGAGCCAAGTTGAAAGAAAGTAAACAGGAGAAAAGTTGATGGAAAAAGGAGCAATACTAAAAAGAACACATTTCTACTGAGAAACACAACCCCTGACCAATAATAGGTACTGAGCTGTAACAATACAAAAGTGACATTCTTCAACTCACAGCGAGTTCAGTGGCACAGTGAATTTTGTTCCTGATTATGTCAATGCAGACCCAGCGCTCCTCTTCCTCCACATAAACCTCGGCCCATTCATTGCAGTCTTCAACTCTCTTCTTCTTGGAGGGCTGGTCGGCTGCATCTTTGGACAAGCTCCTCTTGTTATCAGCTCTGCTGATGCTTGACGAGCTTTTAGAAGAGCTGCTGCTGCTTGAATTTCCTTTTCCCTTTTTCTTAGATTTCCTTTTCTTTCTATCCATTTCATAAAAATCACTGTCAGAACTATCATCATCCTCATTTTCAGATCTTTCAGCGCAGGTTTTCTTTCCCACTCTCTTCTTGACAGGTTTCTTCAAACTTTGCAGGTCAACATCACTGTCACTAGACAGCATTCGTTGTTTTTTGGCTTTTGATGCTTCATGATCAGTTAATTTTGGTTCAATGCCATTGTGTGGTTGATTTGAAGATTTAGATGAGGATGGTCCTGGTTCTTTGAGGTTTTCTGATCCATCTTCATTTATTGGCTTGAATAATTCCTCTGAGCTTGGCCTGTAATGCATGGGCCTTATAGACTGAACAAGACGCACTGACATTCCCAAGGCTCGGGCTATCAAAATAAACATGTACACAAATTCACGAGCTGATCTTGCTTGCCGCTTTTCAAACCTTTCTTTAAGAAAAACTGTCAAAGGTTGCAGCCAGTAAAATTTTTCAAGTGTAGTGTCCACACGTGATATTTTTTTGCAGTACCAGTTACTAAACTTCTCCAAATAGCTGAGATTAATTCTCTTTGGAGGGTAAACCTCCTTATTTGTGATGATGGAGAGGGCACAGGCTAAGAGTTCTTCAGAGTTGAGGAGCCTGTTGATATGCAGTCCATGGCCAAATAGTAGCAACAGATGTACTTTGTGGCAGTTGATGTAATTCTCACGGATGTTACGGTTCACTCCAAGCCTGAAGTGTTGCATCATCTGCAACAAATTGGGTGCATATTAATTCAGTATGGTCAGTATTGAACACAGATCATTTGGATTTAAGCAAAGATTACCTACTTTCACCTAAAATTTTACAATTGTAATATAGGCTTCAGGGTCCACAGTGTGCAAGGTAATTTCTTTCTTTGGCCCCTCTTAGGGCAAAAGAAAGAAATTAACAAAAGGTTGAACTTTTAAGACAAGTAGAAAAAATCTTGACTGATTTAAAGATATATTTACACATGACATTTTTTAACTTTGAAACAAGGGAGTCAAAAATAGTAGCAGAAAAATTCATCAAATATGGTCATCATGGATATAAATTTGATGTTTTGCAGAGTTAAACTTGCAAATGTATTGGGAAATTAATTTCAATTGCATTCATTACTCAAAAGATATATCTATCTTAATTAATATACTACCTATATTGCTACTTTCATCTTTTAAAAAAATTCAAAGAGGGCATAAATTTTGGTGTCTGAACCACAACTTCTTGTTAAATGCCCACATTGGCATTATTGAGCATGTTAGGAGTATGATAAACCCAATCCAATCAATGAAACCCTGAGCAGATGATTTGTGATTATCAAGGCATTATGAAAGTAGCCACAAGATAAAAAATATATATAACTCAGTTATATATATTTTTCTCATCAACAAAAAGTGAAGTCACAGACGGACAGATGGACATGGCGAGCACAATGGTGCATTTTTTCCATAAATGAGAAAATGCACTAAAAAGAGAATGTCATCCCCTTCTTGTGTGGAGAATTTTATAGTTACCAATCACTGACTACACATGGTACTAGCTTGCTTCTCAAAAGGGTTGAATTTTAGAATAGATAAAACAATAGAAAACCAAAACTATACTGAAGACTCATTCCAACCTATAAAAAAGCCTTTGTTAACATTTGAACTATTCACAATAGAAAGATAGGTAGTTTCACTCAAAATTATGAGGAACAAATTTAGTGGTAGTGTATAGAAACATATTGCTACTAAATATTTCACAAATCAAAATCTTACCCAATATTCTTCAGACTTTCTCTTCTTGTTATGACGGCTTCCCCAGAGAGTAGGAGCATCGAGCTCAATTTGTACGGGTGCCGTAGCCAATGCGGCGTCTTCCTTCTTGCCATCCTTGGCATCTATTTTGGCAAGGAGACTGAGAGCTGCAGCTTCATCTTTCACCATAAGGGAGTCAATGTCATCCCAATTCTCTGCATCCTGATTATTTTCTCCAACATCTTCCCAGTCACTTTGTTCTGAACCTGAAGCCGATTGTTTCTTTGCATGCCTGCTTTTATTCTTTTTCAATACTTTGTGTGGCAGCTGCTTGCTGTCTTCCTTTTCTTTTTCACATACCTTCTTTTTAACACTTGGTGGTTTCTCTGCATTTCCTCCCCTGTCACAAACTCCACCCTTGCTTTTATCATTCTTGGTTCTTGAGGAATTTGATGTTTTACTGGAAGCTCTGAGGTTCTCAATAGTGAGCTTAGGCAAAACTTCAGACGCTCTTGGGTGAAGAGTCTTCACCAACATTCTTATTTGATCAGGATTCAAATCATGAGTTTTAAGGCAACCTTTCTTGGTAACAGGAGGATTTGCCTTAATCTTTTTCACAAAACTTGAGCCACATACTTCTTTCTTATTAGAAAGTATATCGTGAGAAACTTCCTTTTCTAGCTTCAGAGGAAACTTTGGCCTTGGGGCATCAGCAGATACTTGGGTTGAAGAAGCCTTTTCATTTTTGTCATTTGTGCCACTATTGGCCAATTTACATCTTTTTGTTGAGTTAATCATCAGCTGCTTATCAGGCACCAGCCCAGTACCTTCAAAAATTTTTTCCTCAATTTTTGAAAAATCAGTCTCATTAGAATGTCCTAACTTATTTTTACTTATCATCTTTTGGTTTTTTACAAGTTTTTCTACTGTCTGATTTTTATGTAAAGTCTTCTCAACTTTTCTACTTGAATTGCTCTTGTTAGTCAATTCAAGATCAGTAGATTGAAGGCTAGCAACTCGTGAAGACCTCCTGCAAGCCATGTTTTATAAATTGTATAAATGCTTCAAAATAATCTGAAAAAAATGTTTCCTAATAAAAAACAACAAAAACAAAATCAACTGATGAAATGTGATATCAATGAATATCATGTTTTATAAGTTCCAATACAAAGAGGCATAAACCTAATTAAATATTACTTGAACTAACATACTAATAGTTTTAAGATGTCAGCATGCCACCCTTTGATTTTCATACTAAAATTTCAAAACATTTTAATTACATTTGGAAATGATGAATGATAAAATTACTGTGAATTACATAGTCTAAAGAAAAACTGAGGCAAGATATTTTGATAATGCATCATGATAACAATGCACAGATAAAATGTATAGCCAGAAGAGGATTTAAGACATCTTATTAAGACAACTGTACTCTGTATATATATATATATACTACCATCAAACGGGGTAAAAAGGGACTGGCAGGGTAAATAGGGACATGCGTCCCACATTTTGTATAAATGTTGTAGTAGCTAAAGTAATAAAAATATTGCAAAACTAAAAATAGTGGTATAAACTTCAACATTTTTACTATCTATTATGTATAAAACTAGTCAAGAAATCAAACATATACTATCTCTAAAAAAAATCGCCGAAGAAAGTGTGAAAAGTGCGATTTCGGAAAAGTACCTCTGCTACCGTCTGGAGACTGGAGCAAAAAAAATATTTGCCGTATTGGAAAATTTTACTTACATAAAAGTTGCACCCAGGTGTTAGCTTGAAAATGTAATTGACAGAATTTGCCTATCTCATTCCAAAAAAATGGCAGCCATTTCCACGCGACGGATTAAAAAGGGACACCCCCGGGGTAATTAGGGACAGCCTTAAAAATGCATTTATAGTAGAACCTCATTTAGTAAGGCCCCAGTTAACAAAACAATTAATTAACAACAAAGAATTTTGATTACATTTACCTCGTTTGGCAGAGAAAATTTACTTATCAAAAAATTAGTGCATCATTGGTCATCACAAAATTGTACATAGAATGCTATATATAGAATTGTGCAAAGGCATCATAGAATGAAAAGTAATTGACCTAAACTATGATTTATTTCTTCAAAACATATGATGGTTGTCACTAAAACATTATTTTCTGTTTCATGTGTGTTTTTCACAATCTTTTTTGTTATAGTGAAATCACTAGACTCCATTAAAATTGTGCAAAATTACAAACCATCCTGTAAGCTTACAGATACAGAAGAAATGCTACATGGCTGCTGATATGAAGCTTGCAGTGGACAAGGTTCTTGCTAATGCTCAATGGCATGTCCATGGATACAGTAATATCACATTAATAATACGGTAATTAATGAATATGGTAATATCATATCAAAAAAGGAAAAACAAGTAAAAAATCACAGAAAATTTCATTTATTTTACATCTACATCATCTATGGTACAAAGAAAGAGGAGGACTTGAGAGTAGGTACTGTTAGTACATAATAGATGAGTACACTCTGCATGCTTCAAATGTTTGAAATTGAGTTTTATTTTAAGTGTCCCTTTTTACCCCATTTCAAGATTAATTCAGGAGCCTTTTATATTGCGTCTAGCACCTTACAAATAGCATACGGAATTTTTTTCAAGATGCCATTTAATAGCCCTCGCAAAGAGCTATAAAATGAGCCTAAATTTGTTTCTGAAATGTTTTATGGTAAGAAGTTATTAACAAAAAATGCTCAAAACCGTCCCTTTTTACCCCATTTGACAGTACATTTTAAGTAGTACCGTCAACTGGGGTAACTTCGGCTGCCAGGGATGACTTTAGCCACCACTACAATAGAAAAAAATGGCAGCAAAACAAAATATTAAATGTTCGCTAAAGTGACTGGGGTGACTTTGGCCACCGGGGTGACTATGGCCAACATTCATTATTTC